GGATGGTGATATTTGGTCTGTTTCACTCTGGACATGTGTTTAGGAGCGACTGGTCCCTGGATACAGACATCATGCTTGGTGAAGTGTTGTTGTTGTTGTTGTTAAGTGCCATCGAGTCAGGTCCGACATGTAGGGTCAGTGAAAAAGAAGAAGACCCTCTATGAGCTAGATGGACATAGTAGCAAAAAAAATGGGCCAAACACACAAGTTGTGAGGCTGGTGCAGGATCAGGCAGCGTTTTGTTCTCTTGTTCATAGGGTCACCATGAGCTGACTTGATGGCACCCAACAAAAACAACGTTTATTAAGAGGTTGCTTGTTGGTTCAGTTGTGAGGGGTTTTGTTTTCTTTATGCTGAAGTGTAATCCATATTGAAGGTTATAGTCTTGGATCTTCATCAGTAAGTGCTTTAAGTCCTCTTCACTTTCAGCAAGAAAGGTTGAATCATCTGCATATTGCTAGTTGTTTATGAGTCTTCCTAAAAATTCTACGATTTTGATAGTTCTGTGTTCTAAGATGGAGCCCTGGTGTGGCGCTGTGGACTAATGTGTCAGACTGCAAAGTTGTTTGAATTGCAAGGTTGGCAGTTCAAGCTCACCAGAATCTCTTTGGAAACCCTATACAGGGTCGCTATGGGTCAGAATCGACTCGATGGCACTTAACAACAACAATAATGTTCTAAGATAATGACAAGGCTGATTCTCCTGAATGACAGGGACAGTCTTATAATTGATGGTCCTCCCAAATTCTGTCAACTATGATCAGAACCCCTTCTTGTAACTCTGTACCAACCATGTTGGACCAGGGCTAGCAGTCTAGTTCCCAAATAGGATACTTTTTTACTTTAAACTTTTTATTTCTCCTGGAAGAGAGGATTTAATGAGGCCATACAGAACCTGGCCTTTTGCCCTTAAAAATGTGCTTGAACCAAATCCATTGTCCTTTCAGTATACTTCAGGGTCCATATACAGCCATCTCTCCATGACAAGAGGGTAAGTAAGTATTATGGTTATATATTATGGATTATATGAAGAAAAATGTGGTATCAAGATTGGAGGAAAACTCATTAACAACTTGAGATATACAGCTGATACAACCTTGTTTGCTGAAAGTGAAGAGGACTCAAAATATTTACTGATGAAGATCAAAGACCATAGCCTCTGGTATGGATTGCCTCTCAATGTAAAGAAAACACAAATCCTCACCACTGGAACAATAAACAACGTTCTTATCAATGGAGAAAAGATTGAAGTTGTCAAGGACTTCATTCTTCTTGGATCAATTATCAACACTCATGGAAGCAGCAGTCAAGAAATCAAATGATGTATTGCATTAGGCAAATCTGCCGCACAAGACCTTTTTAAAGTGTTGAAGAGTAAAGATGTCAGCTTGAGGACTAAGGTGCTCCTGACCCAAGCCATGGTATTTTCAATAACCTCATATGCATGCGAAAGCCGGACAGTGAATAAGGAACACTGTAGAAGAATTGATGCTTTTGAATTATGGTGTTGGAGGAGAATATTGAAAAGAACAAATTGATCTGTGTTGGAAGAAGTACAGCCAGAGTGCTCCTTGGAAGAAGCTAGGATGGCCAGACTTCATCTCTCATACTTTGGACATATTGACCAGTCACTGGAGAGGGGCATTTTGTTTGGCTAGTTGGAGGGTCAGAGAAAAAGAGGAAGACCCCCAGTGAGATGGATTGACAAAGTGGCAGCATCAATGGGCTCAAGCGTGGCAACAATTCTGAGGTTGGCCCAGGACCAGGCAGTGTTTCCTTCTGTTGTGCATAGGGTTTCTGTGAGTTGGTACTGACTTGATGGCACCTAACAAGAAGAAAGTATTGCTAGTAAGATTTATAATAAATTAGATTTGACTTAATGTCACCCAAGAGCAAACCCACCACTAGAGTTTCAGTCCAGACATGCAAGGGTTTATGCATGAACTTAAACCTGTTTAAATATGCAGTCATACTCTTATCTTATTCTCACTGTTGTTGTTGTTAAGTGCCGTTGAGTCAGTTCCGACCCATAGCAACCCTGAACAGGGTTTCCGAGGCTGTAAATCTTTACAGGAGCAGAAAGCTTTATCTTTCTCCCACGGAGCAGCTGGAAGTTTTGAACTGCTGACCTTGCAGTTCACAGCCTGATTCGTAAACACTATGCTACCAGAGCTCCTTTTAGGATACCTTAAGAAAAATAAAAGGTTCAATCAAAACAGTTTCTGAGGGGGTCTACATTCAAGATAGAAAGGTCAGCTCAGAAGGTTATGGTGACTATTTGGGAGATTCCCAAGGGGTCATCTTGATAGATTTTCTCAAAGGACACAAGGTCATCATGGGGCTTATGAAGTTTTAAGAAAATTAAGAACTGCATTGATGATGAAAAAAAGGCCAGGAAAGTTGTGTTGAATGCCCCTCCTTCCCATCATCACAACGTACCTGCCTGTTCTTCAAGGGTAGCAAGGGACACTCTGTGAACATTTCTTTGGGAAACCTTCTCTTATTTGCCCCACAGCCCATAATATTTCCCCTTCAGTTTTCTTTTTGTTCCCCAAACTGAGAGAACATTTAAAAGAAACATAATTTTGAGTCCCTCAAGGAAGTCAAAACTACCATTTTGACGTGGTGTAAATCAAAGATGGCAGAATTCTTTGGGGGGAAGGGTTAGGGAGATAGAAACACTGCCTTCACAAATTTATATACCGAGGTGGAGGATGTATTGAGAAATAATAGCTTCACGGTTTGATATTTTTGTTTAGTAAAGGTTTGTATAATTTTATAGCAATCCTTTGTGACTTAGCTTCTGTACAAGGAAAGCATACATACTCATGTTTCCTCTTGTATGGATGATTATGTCTTTTCCAGCCCACTGCATGTGAACTTCATCAGGGTAGGAGACTTCCTAAGTCTCTGATGACCTGCCTAACTGCTACGCCATGGGAGGAGAGTCAGATCAAGTTGAAGGAAGAAAGATCTGGTCTGCAGCCTTATGATATTTCCAAGCCATGTCCTGGTGTTGCTGTTTTCTGATCTTCAAAGTAGCGTTGTCAATGATAAGATGTTCTAACACCTCCTTCACCTATGACTCTCAAGTTCTGTAGAACCACCTGATGAAGAACTTCTCTTCAAATTTCCTCCAAGTCCTAGTCATCTGTTTCTAGTTTTCCTGGGTAGAAGCCTAAGGAATTGTTCCTTTTTTAGCATGTAGGGATCCATCTCCTAGGAAGTCAGGTTCAGGAGTCCCCGTGCTTCACTGCAGGATCATAGGTACACACACACACACACACACGTGTAACACACATACACAGTGCCATACACAAGAACATACACACACCACCCACATTCGGCCTCTGAAGACCTCCACCCTTGCAGGGAATATCCCTCCTCAGGCCCTTGAGCCCCTTTCCATCTGAACCCTAAGAGGGGGAATGAAAACATGCATTTCTTGCTCTGGAGGAGGCATCACAGACGAGTGAACACAACAGAAGGAATGCAAGCTTATAAACAGAGGGAAGACAGAAAAGGGGAAGGAAAAATGCACATATGGAAAAGGACACTCTTGGTAGGGAAAGAAATTTTAATTTCAAGCTTTTCCGAGAATATTACAAACAACAGAGAGTTTAAAAAAACCCTAAAAACTAGTTTAAAAAAGTACTCGACAGTGTCCCTTTTATACCCACAGATGACACAGTCATTGTGCAATGACAAGGAGAAACTCTACAGGTGTCACCGAGCGCCTTCCCGGGCCGGTCCACGGGGTGGGCAGGACCAGTGAGTACGTAGCACTGAAGGTTACCCTGCCTCTCTGGGGAGGAGCCCGAGCAGCAGGGAATACTTAGACCTCTGTGCCTTGGGGCACATCTGGGCATCTGCTTCCCATCCACTGCAGTAGCACCCCTGGGGGACCCTGGTGGGAGGGGACCCGGGCCTGGGCTTGGGCCTAGGCACACTGAGCATGTCCCGGCCATGGTGGAGTTGGGCAGTTGGGAAAGTCAGCCCTGGCTTGGCACAGCAGCAGGACTGTGCTAGAGATTATTCAGGGATCCTGTACTTTTCTCTAGTTGTGTGTGTGTGTGTGTGTGTATGTGATTCCTGTAAACATCTTTGAGTCAAATCACCATAAAACAAAACAACAAGGGCACAAAAAGTCATCATCTTCAAACCTAAGCCCTCATCGGGAGTCATCAGAAATTGGGAGTCGCTTTCTGGGAGGCTGAGGTGGTGGTGGTGATGGTTGTGTGTCGCTGAGTTGGTCCTGACTCATAGTGACCCTGTACAGGGTTTCTGAGACTGTAAATCTTTACAAGAGCAGAAAACTCATCTTTCTCCCTAGGAGTGGCTGGTGGATTGGAACTGCTGACTTTGGCAGGTTGAGGAGAGAGGCGACCTGCCCAATGTCCTTTCCTCTGGCTGCTCACACCAACTTCTCCCTCCCTTCCCCCTTGTCCCAGTGACAACCATTCAAGTCAATAAATTCTGCCCACTCAGGTAAGCCCGTCCAGCCCGTCCCCTCCTGCCCCACTGCCTGCGTGGGACACAGCCCAGGGCAAAACCCAAGCAAACTCAGTTAAGGTCAGAGTAGTCTACAAAGACTTGCTCTTCCTTCTTTTCTGCATGTTCTCTGCCAGCACTCAGGCCGGTGTAGGTACCACCCCACCACCCAGTGAGACTTCACCCAAGTGCATGTCTGGGTGGTGGCTTTGTTTTGTTTTGTTTGGAGATCCAGTCTGTATTGCACTTTGCTACTGAGTTGGTATTGGGTTTTGTTGCTGTTGGTGGTGGAAGATGGTATTGACCAACTGGAAATCACAAACCTGCTCCCAGTGCCAGCCTGCCCCCAGCGCCAATCCTGCTTCAGAGATCTTGTCTGCGCTCTGCCTTGGCCCTTGGGGTGCCACTATGCCTCCCCCTCACCTGCTCCCTATAGGTGTCCTGAGGCCCTCCCCCGGCCCAAGTCCCTTCTCATGTACATGGTTAAGGCCTTCTTTCCAGAGCGCTCCTCACACTGTTGTGACTCTCATGACGAGCTCGCGGCTGCCCGGGGGGCTTCGATGTTCATGAGGCCTTAAATGACTCAAGATGTGAAGGATGGTGTAAGCACAGTGGTGATCGGACAGAGGGCCTGAGGGGTGGCTGGCAGCCCGGGTGGGTCCTTCCTCAGGGGCAGGGGTGCTCCCAGCCTCCTCCTCGGAGGGGATATTGGCCTGGGTGGATGAGGAGGTCCGGGGGTTGGTCCTGCCTCCTGACTTTTGCTCCTCCAGGTCTTTTGTCTTGTCATAGTTCAGCACTTTCCACTGCTGGTTGACGGCCTGCCACCGTTTAAAGATGCGGTACACAGAGGGTCCCTCATGGATGATGAGACCTGAAGCATCAGGAGAGGAGGAAAACAAAAGCTATGTAAGAAAGGGTGAATGCTTGCTGGGAGAAAGCTCTGTTATTGGTGTTGGGTACCATCCAGTCGGTTCCATCCCATAGCAGCCCAGTGTACAGTTTCCTAGGCTGGAAACTTATGGGAGCCGAAAGCCTCATCCTTCTCCCATGGAGTGGCTGATGGGCTTGATCTGCTGATCTTGTGTTTAGAAGTTCAGTGCTTACCCTATAGAACCACAGCGCTCCCTGGGAGAAAATTCTAGTCTCCCTTTATTTACAGATACTGGCAGCAAGGTAAACTAGGCTCTTACTGCTTTTGACTTGTTCTTTTCAAACTCACCTTTGAGCTCTTAGTCTTATGTTTACCATCTTTAGATTCCTGGGCCCAGCGAGTCTTCACAAAATCAATCTGGTTGTGAAATAGCTGGCCACCGATATTTAATGCCTTTGCCTATTTTACTCTCCCCTCCCAATTCTTGACTTGACAAAATCCAAATTTATCCTTTGAGGCATGTATCTCTTTTCCTCCACAATGGAACTGGGTGCTTAGGAGATGTTGTCTCCATGGAACCTGGTATTTGGCATATGTTGAATGAATCATGTGATTTCAAAGCAGGGATTCAAATTGGTTTATTCTGGTTCAACCCCATGATAGGAATTTGCACTTTTACCCCAGATATACTGAATCAGAGCCTATATTTGAACAGGATCTATGTATACCTAGGGAGCGCAGTGGCTCTGGACTGTTAACCACAAGTTTGGTAGGCTGAGTCCACCAACTGCTCCGTGGGAGAAAGATGAGGCTTTTTGCTCCTGAAAAGATTTAAAGCCTTGGAAATAATATATAGGGTCGCTATGAGTTGAAATCAACTTGACAGCACACACAAAAATGTATACCTCAGAATTAGCAGGGGGTCTATAGGACTCACCTGGGAATCTTGTTAAAGTGTAGATTCTGATCTGGGGTGGAAATTCTAAGCAAGGGATTAAACCAGACCAAACTGGTTTGGCCCTGTTTCAAAAGTACCATTAAAGAAACTCCATGGTTGTTCTATATCTGATTAATAATGTCTGATATTCAACTAGTTAACACTTTGTACAAAATAGCTCAATGCTACTGAGACACAAACACCCCTGAGAAAAATAGCTTTGATGCAGCTATATTGGCCAGATGTAGTGGTATTGTGGAATTGGAAACAAACCACATCAGGTAACCAGGTAAATAAATATTCATTGTGAGCCTAGTGTTTGCCAGGCACTGGGGATACTGCAGTGAGCAGGACAGTAGGAGCTTGTCCTATAAGAGCTTGTTTACATCAATGGACTATTTGATCAGCTGGCATGTACTATGAAGAAGATCCAATTGGGTTCAGTGGCCACTGCTGTAAGAGTTGCAAGTCCTTAGCTAGGATGTTGAGAAAGCACTTTAAGGGAAAGTAATATTTGGATTGAGACTTGAGGGATCCAAGCAAAGATCTGGAGCGAGAGCACTTTAGTGGAAGGAACTGTAAGTTCAAAGATCACAAGGTGGGAATGAAGTGAACAAGAATCAGACAGAAGGTCAGTGTGGCTAGGGTGCAGGGAATGCGGGGCAAGTGGAGCTATGGAGATACAGTGGGAGGAGAACGGACTATATCGAGACCTAGTAACCATGGTAAGAAATGATTGTATTTTACCCAGACTATAATGGGAAGCCATTGAAGGGTTTTAGTGGTTGATGTGACCTGATTTATTCTTTGGGAAGTCCACTGTGAAAACAACTAACTGAAGAGGGACAAGAGTAGGAACAAAACCTAAGCAGGAGTTGTCAGAATTCAAGTTGAAATGATGGTGGCATACCAGTTACCAGTTTCCCCCTAACTCATGGAGACCCCATGTATGTCAGAGTAGAACTGTGCTCCATAAGGTTCAATGCCTGATTTTTCAGAAATAGATTGCTGTCTTCCAAGGTGCCTCTTGTTAACTTGAACCTTCAACCTTTGGGTAAGCAGCTGAGCACATTAAGAGTTGGCACCACCCAAAGATCTGGATGGTGGCCTAGACTAGAGATTTAGCAGTGGAGACTGTAAGAGAGGATGCTGGTCAGGAGGTGCATTGGAAGTAGAGCTGACAGTGAAGAGAAAAATGTGGACAACTGTGAGACATTTAGCTTTAGCAGTTGGATGAGTAGTGGTCCATTTATCAAGATGTGGAGGGCAGTGTGGGCTTGGTGGGCTGATGGTGGTGGTGAGTGTATTTGTTCCCTATTGCTGCTGTAACAAATCACGACGAACTCAGTAACTTAACACAACACAGTTTATTCTTTGATAGTTCTAGTGACCAGAAGTCTAAAATTAGCCTCACTGGGCTTAAGTCATGGTGTCCAGAGGGTTGGTTTCTCCAGGAACTTGGAGGGAAGAATCCATTTCCTTGTCCTTTTTGGCTGTTAGAGGTCACCTGTATTCCTTGACCTCTTCCTCACATCACTTCAACCTCTTTGTTCCAAGGTCTCACCTTCTACTACTCTTCTGTTGTAAATCTTCCTCTGCCTTGCTCTATAAAGACACTTGTGATAACACTTAGGCCTCTTCTCAAGATCCCTAATCACATCTGCAAAGTCCATTGGGCCATAATTGTGTTGTTATTGTTAAGTACTGTTGAGTAGGTTTGACTCATAGTGACCCTGTATAGCGTTTCCTAGGAGCAGCTTGTGAGCTTGAACTGCTCGCTGACCCTGTGGTTCAAACTAACCTTGCAGTCCAGCACATTAACCTGAATATTTGTGGAGGTCATCATTCAGCTGACCATAGTAATTTATGGTTATATTTTTGTTATGCTATGTGGTACTATGGGTTAATGCTCTGGACTGCAAGGTTGGCTTAAACTGCAAGGTTGGTGGTTCAAGCTCACTAGCCACTCCTTGGAAACCCTATACAGGGTTGCTGTGAGTCAGAATCAACTTGATGGTACTTAACAACAATAAGTTTAAGATACCTAAGAGAAATACAAATGAAGAGTCAGGAGGGCACATGAGTCTGGCCTGAAGATAGAAGTCATCAGTACAGAGGTGCAATGAAATGACTGGGATCACTGGCAGAGATTGCAGATAAGAGAAGAGGGCCAATGAGAGAACCCTGTGCCTTCTGATGTTTACAAGTTTGGTGGAGAATTTGGTGGAAGTGGAGTCAGCAAAGGAGGCTCTGAAGGAGGAACCAATGGACTGAAAGTATTACTAGCAAGGGTGGAAACTACGAAGTCTATAGACAAAAGTATTTCAAGAGTGATCATTACTTTCAATGAGAGGTCCAGTCAAGTGAGCTGTGTCCTTTTGCTCTGTGGGCACAGGCAGAGTGACTGTAGCAGTAGTGGGGACACTAGGTAGTGTTCATCCACCTGCATCTTCCTCCTCCATGAAATCATCAGCTAATGTGTAAGGGATAAAGGAGGAAGTGTTGAAGATTTGTGAAGAGAGGAGAAGGTGGAAAAATTATGTTGCAAAGTGAGAAAGTGAATTCCTAAGCAGATGCAGTAGAATTATCTAACCATGTTGAGTGCCCATGTGAGAACTGTGGCCAAAAATTTGATTATCTCCCCCTTACCAGCCCCCTCCCTCCGTAAGGAGCTCTGGTAGCATAGTGGTTACAAATTGGCCTGTGAACCTCACAGTCAGCAGATCAAAACTACCAGCTGTTCTGCATGGGAAAGATGAGGCTTTCTGCTCCTGTAAAGATTTACAGCCTCAGAAACCCTGTACAGGGTTGCTATGAGTTGGAACCGACTCCACGGCACATCACAACAACAACAACAACAATCACTCCCCAGTATATCATCCTGGTGTGGTGCTGTAGGATAAGCAATAGACCACAAGATCGGTTTGAACCACAAAGTCAGCAGTTCAAGCTCATCAGCCGCTCCTTGGAAACCCTATACAGAATCGCTATGAGTTGGAACAGACTCAACGGCACTTAACAACAACAATGTATCTTCACCTGGGTGCAGGTGTGTTGAAAAAGGAACACTGGATTTAATGAGTGTGATAGTTTTTGCCAGCACATGAACCTGGGAGTTTATAAGGGAGTGGTTATATCATACTGTCCCGTGGAGTGTAAGCTAGGGAGAAGACAAGTGAGAACACAAAAGGAATAAGGGATGGAGAAAAATGATAAGATCAAGATCAGGAGGTTTCTATGAGGTGGGGCAGTTCCTGGAGTGAGAATACAGGTACTCCCTGAGTTGGGATGTATTCAAGTTATGTTAAACCACACTTAAAACTGCTTTTCGTACTGGTGTTTTACATTTCATCATTGGTAATATGTTCTACAGACAGTATTGCAGTGCATAATTTTTTGATTGTAGGATTTTCAGATGTTCATTTACAGATGCTCAAAAACTGAATTTATAAAGATAATAATAATAAAGAGTAATAATAAGGAAAAAATTTTAAAGAAGTGTTCTACTTATGTCAGAACAAACTGATGAAAGAATTATCTGGATGGAACCCCATTCTAAGTTGGGGACTACCTGTACTGGAGTTAGTGACTGACGAGAATGGGGGCAGGATGATAGAGTGAAGATTTTGGAAGCTGTGTAATTATTAGTGATGCTGGGTCAGCTGAAGGGAAAGATCTACGGGATCATGGAGAAACCAGGGAGTTGGATAGATTATGTACTTCAACCACCTCTATGTTGTAGACTAAGTATCCCCTTTTTACAGCAATTATATTTTAATATGTACCATTTAAATCCTAAAATGAAATTCAGTGCCCATATGAGCTATTATGTTTTCTTTTTTTAAAAAAGTAATACAATGCCCTAACAGATAATACAAGGTAAAGCAAAGAGTAAGTCTTCAATAACGAAACAATATAAATTTCAATATAAGTGCTGGGCACAACAACATCAGAAACCAGAAAGATGCTATAAGTTTCCAAAATGCCCCTAGGGGATCGTTCCACATCTGCTGAGAACCACTAATCCACATAGACACTGATGTCGGGAAAGGTGGAGGAGAGG